CCCAGTTTCTTTCTGCTGTTCCTGAGATCTTTGTATCTCAAAGCTTATCCAGAGTCAGGCAGTGGGACAGCTGCAGCCTGAGTTGCAGAGCCAGTGCTAGGGCTGGAAATCCCTGCTTCTGATGCAGCGTTTGGCTTACTTGGCCTTGAGTTTTTCTTAAAGGATTAATGTATGAATGCACAGATGTGCTTACAGAGTATTTAACTCTGTGCTTCTCCTTCAAGCTCCTCTCTCTGAGGAAGTTAGAGGCGTGATGGAGAACTGAGGGATTCCTTGCAACCATATGTTCAGGTTAATTGCAACTGGGCATCGCTATCAGGTAATCTCTAAAGGAAGAGAAACTGAGATGAGTTTGTACAAAATCTTAAATTTTGATCTATTCCCTGAATATGCTGGGGAAAAGTGGTGCTTGGCTTATAGAATGCTTTCTGCACAGCGCAGGTAGGACTGCTATTATCTGCCCTTTAAGCCCCCAAATGCAGCATCCTGTAGAAAACAGGTTCCTATTTTGGACAAATATATCCTTTTTTCCAAACCAGATACCACAGAGGTTGACCCCTTGGCTAAAAACAACCTGCAGTCAAAATTGATTCTTCACTGCTAAGTCAAGATAAGGTACTTTTAAACCAAAAAACAGATAGCCCTGAGCAGAGGGTTGCAGTGATCTAGCAAGATCCATTAAAAGCTCTGTCTGCAGAGGCTTTGCCTGTAGCTTTCCACTCCCAGCAAGGAAATGCTCACACATGTCGTCTGGTCTGTACTGATAAAATCGAAGTATGATAATGGAGGCAGGACACAAGAAATTATTCTGGAAACTGTTTTTTTTTCTGGATTCTTCATGTGCTTTTAATAGTAGCAAAGGCAAAGCCACAGACTGATCAGTGCTAAATTTATTACTCTTAACCCAGAATCCATTCAGATTTGTGATTGCAATGTCAGGGTTCCTGTTTTAATCATACTCCATACCGCTGTTTTTATCTGAGGTATATATGAAGTTGTCACACTTGGCTGGGGAAGTCTTTCGCCTGCTATTTGTATGAACTGTGATTTGCATGATACGCTGCAAAATGCAACACTGGCTCCTCTCTGATGATGCTACAACACAGTAGGGTATTCATACAGAGGTGGCTTCCCCTCTCCATCACCATGGGTGAGGTGATGAAGTAGCTTGTCTGCTCAGGATGGGAAGGAAAGCGGCTTTGCTGGTGCAGGTTTCTATGTGGGCAGGATTGCACCATGCTGCACACCACTGGAGTACAACGGTGGGCTTTGGGAGCAGTGACTGGTGGCTCAGCATCCTCCTCCTGCTGTGCACCTTCGTGTCACTGCTGCGCTTGCGGCAGGGCACTGAGCCTTAGAAAATCCCCTGTAATATTTCTTAGATAATAAACAAGCTCAGGCATTTTACAGCCGTAAGCGATAACCTGTGATAAATGCAAAGGTAACTGTGTGTGTCCTGGCCTTCAGAGCTCACTGTGATTCTACCAGAAGTGCAAATGAGCTCCAAAAAGCCAATTTCAGCTTTTACAGTCGGGTGTCTGTGCTGCACCAGCTGCATTTTAAGGCACTGCTCCCTGAAATGTTGCCTTAAATTTAATACCCGTGGACATTTAACCCCTAAAGATATTTCCATCCCCTTTCAAAGGTGCTTTGTCTTTCACAAGGCTTATGTTATTTTAAATAATGCTCTACTGTGTTTCCCCTTTTTACTTCCACATTTAAGAGAACGAAGGAAAAAGAAAATAGGGCAAGGTAACAGCTGCTGAGGCTGGACTGGAATACCTCAAGCCCTGTGAGTGCCACAGGGATGGGATCCCTGAGAGCTGGAGGAGCCCATGGGACATCCCCCCAAGCATCCAGCAATACTGTGGTAACTGGTTTATCTTTTAAACACTGCACCTAAGAAAAAAAAAAGTGTAAGACAACTTTTTGTTTAGAAATGTACCTTTTTCCCCAAATAAAGTTCCCAAATCTGAAATGTCAAGTAATTTTTTCCATCTTGTAAGATGTTTTTTATGTTCTTCTCAAATAGTAAATGAAAACATTAGGGAAAGTGGAAAAATCACCATTTTTCTCAGTCAAATGAAAACTTGTGACCAAAAAGCTCTAAATAAGGAGAAAGTGCTAATGGAAAGTTACTTAGGGTAACTTCAAGTGTTGGGTTTTTTTCATTCATTTGCAGTGATTAGTCTTTGCAAGCTGCCAACTTGCCTGTTCCTTTTGCCTCCTCCAAGTGTTTTACACACACATGTCAGTTTGGTAGGTTTAAACTAAAATAAGAAGTTTCCTCAGTGGTTTAAGATAAGCAAAATCCAGAGCTGTATTGAAAGCTCAAAGAAAGTGGGAACCTAGTGTTGAACTGTAGGGGGTAATGTTGCTACACATACTCTGCCTGCCGGCTGCAAAAGGTAGATAAAGCTATTGACTGTATTATTACGTGACAAACTGTATCTCTGCAGAAGGAATAAAAACATGTGATTACTCTTTGCAACCTCCTCCCTCTGTCCTCAACATCTCTCATTTGCAAGGGCTCTTTAGCTCTTCATTTTTTCCCAGTACCGCATTGTCATATAGTCTTAGTCTAGAATAGTATGTCTTTTACAGTCTAGGGTCATATTTTGCATTTTGTCTTTATTTACTGCTTGTGGCCAGCCTTGCTCGGAGTCAAAAAAACATAGTGTAATTTTGCCACCAGCGAGAGAGACTTGGGCAAGAAGTAGGGGCAGGCAACCTTGGAGTCAAGAGAAATGAATCCTTGGTGGGAGCCAAATGGGATGGTACCATGTTTGGTCCCTATGCCTTTGGCGTGGCTGTGTGTCCTGAAAACAAAGGCAAGCTGGGTCATCATTCTGGTTTTTAATGCACCAGGCTTTGATGATGCCAGTGTTATCAGCCACACGGTCTGTACCAATGAACATCATAATTTGTGGCTGACTGGCTGTACATCGTGTGACATAGCACGTGCTCTATATGCAAGGAGTAAAGATGCTCCCCGCCCCCCTCCGAAGACATACGAGCTCAGCTCATAAATGCAGTGTTTGCTGCTGTGCATCTATTACAGCTGCCTGCAATGACTCCCCACTCCCCTGCCTCTATTGAGCTAGTCCCTCTGCATGAGAGTTTAACGGGATAAAGAAATGTCCTTTTGGGCACCTGGAGAGAGTTGTCAGCCACCCCCAACAGCCTCCATCACAAGCCGATATATTATAACAATCATTATTAATGATTGCTTGGCATTGCCAAGGACAGTAAACTTTCCACGCAGCCAGGTTGCTGCGTGCACGGGGTTTTGAGGAGGGATACGGTTCATAACATTGAGAATGACAACGTGCAGTCTGTAATTGAGTTCTGCTTTACAGTAATCTGTCAGGGCTGTGAGATCAGGCACTAACAGTGCCCTCCATACAGCCAGAGCTGAGTCCACTCTCAACTATGCCACAGTCCAATGTGGAGACTGTGTAGCAGGAACATAGCTTTTTCTCATGTCAATATGAATATGTTTGTGCTAGGAACTAAAGCTATACCACTTTTGCATCCTTGCCTGAGTGGTTACAATGCTGTAAATGATGAATGGCTCTATTTGAGTTATACTGGGGTGATGCTGGGCAGAGAACGGCAAGGATTATTAATTTTGGATACAAACACTGGAGACAAGTGGAGTTAATGGAGTACTACATCCTACATTTATCAGGGGAGAGGTGGGAACAGCAACAGGCTTATTCAGTGCATTGCAGTTCTGAACAGCATCTGTACCAATTTCCCAGAATCTGAAGTTATATACTATATTTTAGGCATTTTCAAGCAGAATCTTTCATTAAACGTGCCAGCACGGAAAAGAAATTTATTGATCTCTGCTAGGTTTTATATGATATGGGCTCCTGATGAACGGGGGCAGGTTGGAAGGTAAGCTAAAACCTTTCTTGCTGGTTGTTGTAACTTCACCAGGGAGGCTGCTTTATCCCCACACGTTTCCTGCCCCTGTATGCACATCTCATCCCATCCATGCAAAAAGCCTTTTATTCCCTTGCTTACCCATTGAAGATCTTAGGCCGCAGGTACCACAGCGATGAAGCTTCTCTAACCACCACAACGGTCTTCTTGTGAGAGCTTCTCTTCTCCAGCAGCCTTTCCAAAGGATCTGCAATGAATGCAAAGAGCCTTGGCAGGAACTGGGTTTTCACTGCTTTTTTTATGGAGTGTCTGCCACGTTGAGGCTCTTGGGTCTGATCACAGAAAGCTAATGCAGGAAAAATAAAGCTGCTCCCAAGACAGACTGACTGACAGACTTGTCATGATGATAGTACACATAGTTGAAATATTATGGCTGCGTTCTTGAAAACCATAGCCAGGGTAAGCTGTTTCCTTGAGTGCATGTGGTAAAAATAACACCTGCTCTGCAGACAGTGGATTTGACAGCTGCAAAGTCATAGTGTAGGCATCTCCAGAAGCACTATATATTTTTGCTTTGTACCCCAAATAATAATAGTTGTTGTTATGGAAAAAGGGTGGGATGAGATGTAAATTCCCAGGTACAACTGAAAGAGTGTGATGGGGGTTTATGGCTCAGTAGAACTAATAAAAGCCATCAGTGGTGCCTCTCAGTTGAAGGTGCATCAATCATTTCTCACATTGTGCACAGGTCCAGTGACCTGTCACTTGCACTGCTTGCTATGGCTGCTTGGCAAGATCCAAACTAATGTCACAAAATGCAACACTGGTTTGTTGAGCCTGAAGTGTTTCATTTTTATCTGTGGAGACGTTTTTACTGAGTCTTACTGCAGACTGCAGGCAGGATCCTGCCTGGATTCCTGGTAAGCATCTTCTAGAGCCTCATTTACTGATGAACCCCTTGCATGGCTTCTGCAGCAGCCCAGTGCTGTCATTGCTCTGTGGTCAATGGCTGCAGACTCCAGCTCCTTTATAGGAGGGTGTCAAGGGAGGCAGATTTGCTTTAGCAGGGTCAGCTATGGTGGGGAAGTTGTTTCTCCACCACTTTCTAGAGAGAAGGCGCAGATGGGTCTTTGATCCAGAATACATGAGGGGTAGAAGAAATGAGTTGCTCAACTGCGATCCATGTTTACTGGTGTCCTGTGTTTAGCAGTAGCAGTCATTTTTTCTCTTTCTTAGTAGCTGGTGCAGTGCTGTGTTTTTGACTTTCGGCCTGGGAACGGTGCTAATAACACCAATGGTTTTAGTTACTGCTCAAATGTTTTAGTCTGGCCAAGGACTTTGTGGGCCTCATGCTCTGCCAGGGAGGAGGGGAAGCTGGGAGGAAGCAGAGACAGGACACCTGACCCAAACTGGCCAAAGAGGTATTGTATACCACAGCACGTCATGCCCAGGATGTAACTGGGAGTTACCCTGGAAGGGCTAGAGGACAGTGGGGTTGGACGAGGTATTTGTTGGTGTTTGGTCAGGCTGGGGTGGGGCGCGTTATTGGTCAGCGGGTGGTGAGGTGTTGTATTCTTTTCCCTTGTTATTTCCCTTGTCATTATTATTATTGGTGATAGCAGTAGTGATTTGTGTTATACTTTAGTTACTAAACTGTTCTTATCTCAACCCAAGGGAGTTGCATTCTTTTGATTCTCCTTCCCATCCCTCCGGGAGCAGGGGGAGGGCAAAAAGGGGGGGAGAGAGTGAACGAGCTGTCTGGCTGGGTTTAAACCACGACAACACATTGACAGCAGGAAATGGTGGCCATGATTCTTACTCCTCAGAAAACCACCAAGGTATGAACCCTTCCTTCATTAGTTTGCCTGGGTGGTTAATCACCATGAAAAAAACTGTGTTCCAGAATCCATCAGTAATCCTCTGGCTGTTACTTTCAGCCACTTGTTCTGGTTCATGACCCTTTCTTCTAAAGATTTCCTTCCTTTAAATGTAATTATGATCTGTGATCAAACCAACTTTTGATCTTCTTTTAGATGAAATTAAACAGATGGAGCTTCTTGGTTCTCATACTAGTTAGGCAACTTTATCACTTCTCAGATCTTTCTGTGGTTTCTTCCTAAAACCTCTCTCGTCATCAAGCATCCATTCAAAAATGTTGCCAATGAAAGCTGCATTCAGTATTTTAGTTTCCCTACCTAATTTCACCAGTCAGGTAAAAATTACCTCCATGGTCTCCTTTTTCTATCCTTTTGTGAGTATTTTTTTTCCCACACTGTTGAAAATGTAATGTTGAGCTATTTCTTCATTGCAGCTTATAAATTATTGTCAGGGTTACAGTTTTACCATACACAGCCACTTATTCTTCAGATTTTCCCAGATAGCTGTGTTACATTCTTTATGCATTTAGTTTTATTTTATTTATTTTCATTTATATAAATCAGGTTTTATATACACACATACAGATGCCAAGAAATCCTGACACATCTACATGCTATTGCGAGTGCTGCTGGTGTTGTATTTCTCTGTGATTTCTGTCCAACAGCAGCCACCCTTCATGTCCCTCCTGAATATCAGTTGAATTTATGAACTGAAAAATACTGGCAACAATCAAGAGGCTTTCATGGAGAATAGTTCTTTCTTAAATTACTGTGATACTGTTCTTCAGTGAGCTAATGAGTTTAGCTGATAGAGGTCAACTGAATGCACTGTAGTTATGCTTTTTCAAGTGTTATCATCACATGGTATGCTCTAACTTTGTTAAAAGTTTGCATAAAAAGTGGTATGACACATTAAATGGATTAAAAACTACCTGGCTAGTCTCAAAAAACTAATTACTATATTTTAGTTAGGAATTATCAGCCAATTTTTCCTTTCAGGCATTATTCCTTTGCCAAAGATGTATGCTCTATATTTATCATAGGATCATGGAGCTATCATAAATTGAGGGGAAAATATGTGATTGGAGAAAAATATCCAGGTGACACAGTGATTGTGGGCATAATGATAGGGCAGACATATCATTTATATAGCATGACCTTAATCACTCAATAGCATGCACATAATTAAAACCTTTTAAGGCAGTAAAAGTAAACTCATAAGTTTAGGATTAAGGAATGTATATGCTATGGTGATAAAATGAAGGACTGGATCCTTACAAAAATGCAAGAGAATTAGTGAAGTCCTCAGTGAATCAGGCGGTGTAAATGCTTCAGGTGAGGCACAGAAAGAATTTAGGTGCTCAAGTCCAAAACTGCAATTCTAACTTTCCTCCTCAGCATTTGTGTAAATAGCATTTTGGTAACTTCTAGACTTCTTTACTTTTTTACTCAAAGGTTGACTGTCCTAAGTTGAAAATAGAAGAATGACTGTGTCAGGCTAAGAATCATGCAGGCCTGTATCCCATCTCCAGCAGAGATACTTCCAGTGTTACTTCCCCGAAGTGCTTCCCACTTCGAAGTGATCTGTGATTTGTGATCTTCCTAAGCCAGGAGTGTCTTTGTGTCTGCTGATGTATACAGGGCCCTCCTGTCACGCTTATGTCTGCTTGCCCTGGAAACTGTGTCCAACCACAGATTAATGACTTTCTGCATAAACAACAACCTTCTTGTAGCCTGTTGTGTACTTGTTTCATACAAGTTCTTGCATGGAAGAATTGCTTTTGTTCCATGTGCTGCTCATACAGACCTCTGCCTTCCCTCTTCTGCCTGGTGTCTTCTGCAACCCAGTGCTGGGATTCAGGCAAGTTCCTTTACAAGGAGTTCCCTCACACAGTGTTCCCTGAGCGTCCCTAACCCTCAGGGAACTTCTAACTCTACGCAGCTCTGTACAAAATCAGCAGTAATTGATTTATTTTGAAATATGGCTGGGAAAAGGAAGCAGCAATTGTGCAACATCTTGCTGCTTGCTGAGTAGAGCAGAATATGGAGCAGCCTAATTTGCTTCCTTTCCCAGCCCTTTGACAAAGTGTTCCAAGCATTTACATTATGTGGGGTGTTGCCTCACTGTAGCCTCTTGTGTTTTATAAGAAAGGACAACCTTCTTGCCCCTCAGAAGGGGCAACCTGCTTGCTTCTTGAAGGCCAAACATGCTTGCCTTCAGGGTGATGTTCAGGCTGTGGAACTTGAGTTTAGTCCTGTGGGTCTTGCATCAGGTACTGGATGTCAGGGAAGGGGATTATTCTCCATGTGGGCAAGTTTAAGTAGCTTAAGTGCATGTAGTGCTTCTGATGATCTTCAGATGGCTGATATGAAGATCACTGGCTTCATGCAAAGTGTCCTTGAGCAGTGCTGGAATGATTTCATAAGGTGTTAGTTTTGCTAAACCTCATGATTTTGGGCTGTAGCTTTTCCTGTCTTTTGCAGAGAGATCAACAAGCTGCTTGCTCACTGGTGGTGAATTGATTTTTTCCCACATTCAGACTCAAGGCTGCAAGAGGGCTGTCATATCCCATAGGACTTCTCCATAGCTCCTCTTGTTACACAGGCTGTTATCTCCCAGAATAAGAAACAAAGAGCAGTTCCTGTCTCTGGGTTGAGCAGGAGAAAGTGGAGCATTTGTATGAGTTACTCTTCTACATCAAAGGTTAATTTTTCAATGTGAAATCATGACATAAATATTGGTAAAGTTAAAAACATCATTTAGGGCAATTCCTGTTTTTTGACACCATGACTCTGGAGCCAGCCTGGTCTTACCAACAAGGTGTTGAATTAATTAATGGATACCAACAAGACATTAATTTCACACGTTTTGCTCTTTTGAGCCTATGACAGCTGTGCATTCGCATATAAAATATGCAGAGGTTAATTAGTCATCTTATTGTTATTTACTTTTATAATTATCAAGGTACCTGGGAGCCTCTGTCAAACACATGGACTTTGTACTTCTTGCTGCTGAATACACAGAGTTGGTGAGATTTGCCAACAGCTTGTGGTCTAAAAGTAAGGAAAACTTGACATGCAGATGAGAAAATACAAATGATCGGTTTTAGCAAACACTGAGGTGGAAGCAGAGAACAGGAGCCTGCTTACAAATACTGTTCTCTTCCATTTGTAGGCGAGTCCTCCATGGCATTTCACTTACAAAGCCAGCTGAAGTTGCCTACTGACAATGCTCTGATGAGGCACATGACTTGCTCAAAACAAGTCAACATAAGGTGATGATAGCTTTGACATGCAATTTTACAGCTGAAGTACAGAAGTGCAGCATTTCCCCCAGGACAGCGTATAGTTCACCATGCTTGGATGAAGCCCAGCCAGACCACAGCTCTGCGGCACCCAGGAAGATGCTGTGCTAACTTCTGCTTCCCCATACCCTGCCTCCATGCTGCTGCAATGGCCACATCTCCCACCCGCAACACTACAATCTTCCCCAAATGGCAGGACAAAACATTGGGGTCCTCTACATCCACCTCCATTTCCCTGTTGCCTTTCAATTCCTCTGCTTTTTCCAAGCAAAACTGCAACTCCTCACATTCCTTCCCACAGGCATCATCTACCAACTCCACCCTGACTCCTTCCCAAAGCACTGGCTTCTTTGGCATGCTGGGGTTTGCCATGGCCTGTTTGCCATGGGTTTGCTTCTGACATTGAGCTGCTGACCTCCATGCAGTGCCCAGCTGGATCAGCCTTCCCCTTTGCCAACCTGTCTGGTCATTAATCTTCAAACGCAGTTGCCTGTGATCTGAGGCTATAACTGGATGGTGGATGAATGAGACTGCAGCCAGGCAAGGATCTTGAACCATGATTCCAGAAAAACTGAGTTTTTTCACAGCAAGTTGCACTAGTGGTCACTTATAGCAAATTCCTGTCTTTTCCATCCCAGCTAAATTTTGGATTGATCCTTATAGAGTAGAATCATGGAATAGTTAGGGTTGGAAAGGACCTTAAGATGGACTAGCTCCAAACCCTCTGTCATGGGCAGGGACACCTCACATTAGACCATGTAAATGGTTATGCTGACCTCAAGCCCAGACTCCATAGTCATCTGTCCTGAAAATGTCAATGCTCAGTGCTCTTGGCTGCTACCTGATGTGACTGTGATCACTGCATGACTCTGAGGTCGTATCTCCTCCTGTGGTGTGCTGTGAACTGACCCTTCCTTCCTTGGTGGGAACTCCAATGGTTGAAATCCCACAGATCCCTGCTTCTCCCTCCAGGGAGGGAGTTAACTTGCCAATCGCACCACCTACACTGAGG